CCAGGTCGAATGCGCCGATGTCGACTCCTTCGTGCGTGCGCCGCGTGGTGGCGTTGAGCACCTGCCAGCCGACCCGCTCGTTGGTGAGCCGCGCAGCACTGATGGGCCTTCGCACCTGGCCCCAGCGCTCGGCCCGGCAGCGAGTCATGCCGCAGGCGATGATGCGCTGGGGGGCCCAGCCCCCCCATGCGGCCGCAGCAGCGTCATGGCGGGGAGGAGCGCGGCCCTGATCATCGGGCCCAGCATGGGCGTCGGCATCAGGGTGAGCGCGCGCGAGCGCCCGGCTACGCAGGGGGCCACCGCCTTGAACGACTCCGCCCGCAGCGTGTCCAGCGCCATGGTGGCGCAGCCTGTGGCTGTGACGCCGTAGGTCACGCTGGGCTCGATGCCAGCTGTGGCAACCTTGCGCACGGCCTTCTTCCGCCCCGCTCCTGTCTTGAGAATCGCCACACGGCGTTGCCGAAGCCCTGCCTGCACGAGTTCCTCCTGACGCACCTTGCGCACGATGCGCCCGCCACGCGAGAAGTCGATGCCAGGGTGACCGACGCTACTCCAAGCGGCCGGCGCAGACGGGCAGCCAGGCCGCGGCGCGCAGCTGGAAGGTTCGCCAGGGCCTCGACTTCTTGACGGCCACGTTGAGGTCCACGCCCAAAAGAAGCGTCTTGAGTTTGAGGGCTGCCTCCGCGACCTCCTGTGTCACGAGCACGAGCCCACCGACCCGATGCAGCATGAGGTCGTCCGCGACCACCGCCGGCGACGCGGACGGGTGCTCAATGACCAGGCTGCCGAGCGGCCCGATCAGGATGAGCTTCAGCAAAGAGGTCGCGAAGCCGTCGCCAGGCAGGATGGACTGCCTTGCCTCGATCACGCTCGAGGCCGCGCTGCCCATGCAGAGGACCCGCGGCGCGCAGTATAGTTCCAGCGTCAACTTGACATGCCACAGCGGGAAGCCTGCAGCAATGGCAGCGCCCAGCAGCCACTGGTGACGCACCTGCTCGAATGCCTTGAGCAGGACGAGCAGGGCGGCGACCGCCACCGAGGATTCGGCGTCGCCGCAGTCGGCACCCCGCTGCGCGTCCCGCTCTATCGCCGCGATTATGTCGATCAGGACCTCCAGCGCCTCGTCGCATAGCTCGTCCAGATGCCGCGGCCTCACCGCGCAGAAGGGCATGTCTGTCGTCGCCTTGAAGGGGCGCAGAACCTTGCGCAGCTCCTGGACTGTGGGCCTATGCGGCCGCTGACCCAGGTCCGAGGGGCAATGTAAGCGCACCTGGTCGCAGGATGTGTCCCACCAGCGACCGCACTCCACCTGGAGCTGCGTGGCCTGCTGCCCGAGGTCCAGGGGCTCGAACACCTGCTTGCCGCCACCGACGGAGTCGTCGTGCTCGGCTTCGCCACCGGGGCCCGGGTCGAACCCGACGGGCAGGCGGAAGACGGCGCGAAAACCGCCACCTCAACCTTCGGCCTGCTTCTCGACCCGCTACTGAAACAGGATGGCCCGCTGCGCCATGTCCAGCGCGACCGCGAGGGCACCCGCGCGCAGCTGCTGCGGCGCGGCGGGGTGCAGCAGGGACAGGCGCAAGTTGCTAAGCAGCATCCGCCGCGCCACAGCTCGGGGCACCGCCTGAGGGCAGGACAAAACCTCGCCGTCGCCAGGCGTCGCCCTCGCTGTGGCAAGGGCTGCGTCTAGCAGCCTGCGCACACCTCGCAGAGCATCGAGACGCGCGCCTGGCTGCTCTGCGGCGGCGATGTCGAGCAGCACGCTGGCCACGCGGCGCACCAGGTCGCCTCCGCGGAGACTCGAGGGCAGCGCGCTCCAGCCACAGGGGGCCGACGGCACCGCCGCGGCTCAGCAGGGCGAGCTCGCCCTTTGTGATTGACCCTGTCCTCTTCCACCTGGCGGATGTCAATCCATTCGTCCTCAGCGGCGTCGAGGAACCGCTGCCAGGCGTTGATGACAATAGCCCTTGATGTTGTCAACGTGTTCGGACGCGCCCCTCGCCCTCTCAAGCTCACCAGCAAGCAAGCCTTTCAGTTCCTGGCTGATCGCGCTCCAGCGCTCGCCGCGCGCGAGGCGAGCACAGTCTGCAGGGCGCTGGACAGGGAAGGGCTCGGGCACCTGAACCACCCTGCCCCGCGGCCTGCCGCGCGAGGCCTCCAGCTCTAGGGTGACGGGCTTGCGCGAGTAGACAGGGGGCCCACTGACCACGCGGATGTTAGTCACCTCGAGCCCGCGCGAGACGGTGAACAGGTCAATCGTCCTCTTCGATTGCGCGCAGGTGGGCTCCAGCGTGTCGGCGACGACCGCATCGAGGAGCCTCGGCACTCCAGACTTCACAAGCTCCTCCTTGGTGCAATTGAAGCCGCCTCCAACCACGCATGGGCGACCGTACTCTCGCAGCCTGCAGGCCAGGTCGCGCAGCGACTGGTAGTTGAAAGGGTTAACGCCGACGTCTGGCTGCAGGTAGATGCGGGCCAACACTATGCCGCCGCGCTGCAGCCCTGAGCGATGTCGCACCTGAGTTCGCCCTTCTCGCAGCGCGGAAGGGCGCGACCCCAGCACGGTGGCCAGCCCATGCTCGCTGCGCACGCACGGGAGTAGCCCCCCTGTAGTCAGCCCTCCAGCCAGCGATGGCACTGCGGCTGCCCCACAAGCACGAAGTCCCCTACGACGAAGCTCCCCTCCAGCGTCCGCCGTGCGTGCTTGACCCAGCCGGGTCTCCTGAAGCAGGATGACGTCGCAACTCGTCAGCTCCACGATGAGGCACCTGTCGACACTCAAATGTGCATTCATACTCAGCGACGCGATGCTCCAGGACTGAGTGCGGCTACCCCAACCGCAGCTTCTTAGCATCCACCGCGGCCTCGTGCATCTGCTTGAGGTGGGCCTGGAACTCCTCGACGAACTTCCTCTTGTCGGAGACGGATCCAACGACGACGGAGGCGGCGGCCTTGAACGAGTCGCCCGTGGCGAAGTCCAGCGGGTCCCCCTCGAGGTCCACGTCGATGCCCTCGCCCACGGCGACGCTAGCAGCAGCTGCCCCAGCTTCGGCCCCGCTGCTGCCCACTGGGGCGCCATCTTTGCCTCCACCCGCTGCGACTGGCTCAAGAGGCTGAGCGGCCAATGCTCCTGCCAGCAGCGCACGAAAAGGGCCCCAGGATGTCCTCGCTGAGCTGGGCGTCCGGGTTCTCCGCGGATGCGCCCACGACGCCCTCGAGCTTCTTCGCATGGCTGATGAGTTCGCCGACGTCACACGTGGGCGCAGCTGCAGCCTTGAGCGCAGCGTCGTTGGCGAGCGCGGCCTTCGCCCTGGAGACGGCGGCGTCGAGCTCGACCTGGAGTTGCGCGACCTTCTCCTTCTAGAGGTAGGACGCCTGGAGCGCCTCAGCGGCCAGCTTCTGCTATTTCTCGTAGTCCACCTTGGCTTGCTGGAGCCGTTTGCAGGCCTCGCCCGCCGCCGCCTGCGCAGACTTGACCGTCTTGACCTCGGAGAGCGTGCCCAGCTGCTGCTGCAGCAGGAAACGAGACTGCCGCATGCTGTGCTTGTCACTGGCGGACAGCGTGACGGACAGGAGCTCGAAGTCGAATTCGCTGAAAGCCAGGAACTGGTCACGGGCCTCGGGCGAGAGCCTGGGCGGCTGCGCCCCAGAGCCCCCGAAACCTCCACGCTTCGGCCCTTGCACGATGTGCCACGGGCGGGAGTCGCAAGCACCATGCGCCCAAGCCCCGAGCGGTGAAGGAGGAACGTCACGAGGAGCAGACACACCACGATTGGTCAACCGGCAGCCCGTGCGCCCCGCCTGCCGACACTTGGCGCGCCAGCCCAGGTTCTTGTAGTGGCAGCGGTTGCAGCGCCAACTCGTCCCCTGAGCCGACTCACTCGCTGCACCAGCGCCAGCGCCGCCGCCGCCGCGAGGAGGAGGAGCCATGCCACGCGAACGGCGCGCCACAAGGGTGGCGGGCTCCTCACCTTGGGCGGACCAGGCGGAGACACTGGAAGACTGCCGCGGACTCGCGGTATCCTTGCAGGCACGGAGGCGCGGAGCCCCCACAGTGCAGGCATCTTGAGCCAAAATGGCCACGGACGGCGGAGGAGGAGGAGGAGAAGGAGGATGAGAAGGGAGGGAGGACGAGGGAGGAGGGAGGAGGGAGGAGGGAGGAGGGAGGGAGGATGGAGGAGGCAGGATGGAGGAGGCAGGAAAAGGGGGGAGGAGGGAGGAGGGAGGAGGGAGGAAGGGGGCAGGAGGGAGGAGGCCAGAGGAGGGAGGCAGGAGGAGGAGGAGGGAGGGAGGAGGGAGGAGGAGGAGGGAGGAGGCAGTGGGAGGAGGGAGGAGGCAGGAGAGAGGAGGGTGGAGGGGGAGGGAGGAGGAGGAGGGGAGGAGGGAGGGAGGGAGGAGGGAGGGAGGGAGGGAGGGAGGAGGGAGGAGGGAGGCACGGAGAGAGGGAGGGGAGTGGGAGCGGGAGGGGGAGGGGGATGGGGGAGGGGAGGAGGAGGAGGAGGAGGAGGAGGAGGAGGAGGAAGGAGAGGAGGAGGAGGAGGAGGAGGAGGAGGAGGAATAGGAGGAGGAATAGGGGGAGGAATAGGAGGAGGGAGGGAGGAGGAGGAGAGGGAGGCGAAGGAGGAAGGAGGAGGAGGAGGGAGGAGGAGGAGGAGGAGGGGGAGGAGGGGAGAGGAGGGAGGAGGGAGGGAGGAGGGAGCGGGCAGGAGGAAGGAGGGAAGAGGGAGGAGGGAGGAGGGAGGAGGAGGAGGAGGGATGAGGGAGGAGGCAGGAGACAGGAGGGAGGAGGGAGGAGGAGGAGGAGGAGGAGGAGGAGGAGGGATGGGGAAGAGGAAGAGGAAAAGAAAGAAGAAGAGGGAGGATGAGGAGGAGGAAGAAGAGGAGGAGGAAGAGGAGGAGGAGGAGGAGGAGGATTTACTCATGAGGACAAGGAGTGACGGGAATAAGGAGCTCGCGTACGGGGGGCAGCCTCGCGCAAGTCTGCCTTCCGCGAAGCCCGCCTACCACGAGTTGCCCGGGGCCCAGTCGCTGCGGGAGAACAGGCTGAACGGGCCCGGCTTGTGGGGCTCCTGCGGAGGGGGAAAGCCCTGATAAAAGACAAAGCCAGGACGAGAATAACATCGGGTAAGGATAAATCGAGAATCTCCGAGATCCTCGATTCTGGAGGATGCCTCGGGCGCCGCGGGCTTCTTGGAGCGTTCTGGAACGCTCTGAGAGCGTTCCGTATCGCTCTGGAACGCATTCATCCTCGCCCCAGCCCCGTCCGACCAGACCCTCTCACGTCGCTCACGGAAGATGCTTTGCTGTCCTCTGCCTCTCCGGGGGCCCTCGCCGGGCCCAAGGGCGCACCAAGAAAACTCCCAGGGATGAGAAGCTGGTCCCAGGGAATAGGTCGAGACCCTCTAGAGACCGACGTTTCGACTAAATCATGACGCCGGGGGTCTGGCAGGAGGGACCGACTCGGGGGGAGCACCTGGAATCGGCGATGCGTTGCTGAAAAATCAGCGATGCCCTGACTTCGGATCCGCCGCACTTTGGGCGACGTCGCAGGCAGGGCGGAAGTGCTCGCCCTGCTTCTCAAGCTCCTCTGATGTCGGCTTCCGCCCTCATTGCCGTCGCTGTTTCCGCCATTCTCTTGAGGAAATGTCCGCCCTACTTTTTCGCATCGTTCCGGCCGCATTTCCGACACAATTTCAATTCAAAAAATCAACCAAGGTACTGCGAATGCAGAATCTTTGAAGGGGGTCGAAAGGGGGGACTAGTTCAGGGGGGAGTCTTCGACCTGAAATCGGCGATACGTCGCCGAAAAACCGGCGACACCCTGACTTCGAATTCGCCGTAGTTTGGCCGAATTCCCCGCTTGAAATTGTGTCGGATATTCATCCCAAACGGTGTCGACAAAATAAGGCGGAATTTCCAGCAACATATAGAATAGAACCGGGATCTCCGTAAACATATATCGGAAACAGTCACGGAAAGGCAGGGCGGAAATCGGCATCAAATGAGCTTGAAAAGCAGGGCGGGAATTCCCGTCCTACCTACATGATCGCCCACAGTACGGCGGATCCGAAGTGGGGGCGGGGGGGGAACAAAAAGGGGGGCTGACACAGGGGGGGCGGGAACATCGACCTGGAATCGGCGGTACGTCGCCGAAAGATCGGCGATAGGCCCGCGGTAGCGGAGCTCAGCGTCCATGGGCAGGTCGAGCCCCAATTGGCGACGAACAAGCGATTGGGGATCCATGCGTTCCCCCCTGAGGCGTTGCTCCTCTTGGCTTTCGAGTCGTGACTCGGCTCTCTGGCAGCCGTTCGGGAAGATCTGGGCAC